ATTTTTTGGTTGAGAATGGTGTTTATTTCGTATCTTGGTTGAGTATGCTCCTTTAAATAGTATTCACTTGAGTCAAATTGGGCTCTTTGCTTAATAATTACTCTAGTAGCTAAATTCGCATAGAACCAAGAAAAAAATTTCACTATTTGATTAATACTTTGCCTCGTACAAACAGAACTGTATAAATAAATTAGTTGCTCAACAAAACATTAATTGCCCTTCAAACGCACAATTTGCATAGAAAAACACTGATCTAAACATCCAAAAACAGCATTGTCCGCTTCAGATTCAAAATGTGGATTCTTCCAATGCTGGCTTATCGGGGTCTGTGAGGTGTCCCAGTAACTGTCCTTCATTACCCGGTGATTAACTACGCGACTTTTGGGCCTTCTTTGTTGTTTTTTGTTAAAAAGGCCTTAAAAGGCCTAAAAAGGGTAGGTCGCTGGGGGGGGGGGGTAGCATATATATATATATATATGGTCACCCCCCCCCAATGGACCCACCGCGGGCCTTGATCTTTGCAAAAGTACCGCAAATACCGATAAAACCTATGCTGTCTGGTGATTTTCCGGTGACCGGATTTTTGACTGTATTCCTTAATTCACCCTCTCACACACGCACGGAGGGTTTTTCTTTCTGTTGGCATTTAAACCTAAGCCTGCAAAAAAAAAAAACCTTAACCTTTAAACCCTGTAGGGTTAAGGTTTAAAGGTTAAGGGTTTAAGATTTAGGCATTTGAACCTATGCCGGTAATTAAAGCTAAGCCCTTAACCTTTAAATTCTATCGGGTTGAGATTTTTACAGGTTTAGGGTTTAAGATGTAGGCGTTTAAACCTAAGCCTGCAACTAATTTTAAACCCTTAACCTTTAAACCCTGTAGGGTTAAAGTTTAGAGGCTTAGGGTTTAATATTTAGCCATTTAAACCTGTAGCCAAGCCCTTAACCTTTAAACCCTATAGGGTTAAGATTTTTAAAGGTTTAGGATATAAGATGTAGGCATTTAAACCTAATTAAGCCTGCAACTAATTTTAAACCCTTAACCTTTAAACCCTGTTGGGCTAAGGTTTAAAGGTTTCGGGCTTAAGATTTAGGCATTTAAACCTATTCCGGCAATTTACGCTAAGCCTCTAACCTTTAAACCCTATAGGGTTAAGATATTTAAAGGTTTAGGGTTTAAGTTTAAGGTTTAGGTATTTAGACCTATGCCGGCAGTTCATATTGAACCCTTAACCTTAAACCCCATAGGGATGAGATTTAAAGGTTTAGGATTCTTTACTTAGACATTTAAATCCAAGCTGACGATTCAACCCAAACCCTTAACCTTTAAACCCTATAGGGTGAAGGTTTAAAGTTTTAGGGTTTAAGATTCAGACATTTAAACCTAAGACAGCGATTAACACTAAGCCCTTAACCTTTAAACCCTATAGGGTTAAGGTTTAAAGGTTTGGGGTTTAAGATTCAGGCATTTAAAGCTAAGTATGTAATCAATTTGTCACCCTTAACACCTCTAAACTCTGTAGTGTGAAGGTTTAAAGGCTTAGGGTTTAAAAAAACCTAAGCCCCCTAAGCCCATAGAGTTTAAACCTTAAGGGTTTAAGGTTTACGCATCTATTCCTTAACCCTAAACCCTCTAGGGTCAGGACCCTAAAGCCCTCGGCAATCAAGCCTAAACCCTTGACCTTCAAACCCCATAGGATGAAGGTTTAAAGGTTTGGGGTTTAAGACTTAGGCATTTAAACCTAGAGGGCATTTAAGCCTTAATCCTAAACCCTTTAGGGTCAGAACCTTAGCACCCTATAGGGGTCTAGCACGTTCAAAGGCTTGAACCCTACAGGCGCTGAAGGTATACATGTCCTATCGGTTTTTAAACCATTACACCCTGTAAGAAGGTTTAGGGTCTTTTCGGGGTCTATCTCTAAATTTCTCACGGGGTTAACCCTGCAGGGTTTAAAGTTAAAGGTTTAGGGTTAAAGGTTAAGGCAATACCTATAGGATTAGAACCTTATAACCCTGTAGTGCATGAGGCTTAAACCCCTAAAACTTAACCATCTTTTTCTCGAGAAAACCAAAAAAACCAAAAAAACCAAAAAAACCAAAAAAACCATCTTTTCCAAAACTATGGGGCTGGGGCCTCCAAAAGATGGTTTTTTTGGTTTTCTCGAGAAAAAGATGGTTTTTTTGGTTCGAAACCATCTTTTTCTCGAGAAAAAGATGGTTTTTGAGCAGCCGCTCTTCGAAAAACCATCTTTTTCTCGAGAAAAAGATGGTTTTTGGAGATCTTGTCCTGGAAAAACCATCTTTTTCTCGAGAAAAAGATGGTTTTTGGAGGTCTTGTCCTGGTAAAACCATCTTTTTCTCGAGAAAAAGATGGTTTTTGGAGGTCTTGTCCTGGTAAAACCATCTTTTTCTCGAGAAAAAGATGGTTTTGCGAAGGATGGTTGCTCAAAACAATCTTTTTCTCGAGAAAAAGATGGTTTCGAACCAAAAAACCATCTTTTTCTCGAGAAAACCAAAAAAACCAAAAAAACCAAAAAAACCATCTTTTCCAAAACTATGGGGCTGGGGCCTTCAAGAGATGGTTTTTTTGGTTTTCTCGAGAAAAAGATGGTTTTTTTGGTTCGAAACCATCTTTTTCTCGAGAAAAAGATGGTTTTTGAGCAGCCGCTCTTCGAAAAACCATCTTTTTCTCGAGAAAAAAATGGTTTTTGGAGATCTTGTCCTGGAAAAACCATCTTTTTCTCGAGAAAAAGATGGTTTTTTGAGGTCTTGTCCTGGTAAAACCATCTTTTTCTCGAGAAAAAGATGGTTTTTGGAGGTCTTGTCCTGGTAAAACCATCTTTTTCTCGAGAAAAAGATGGTTTTTAGAAGAGCGGCTGCTCAAAAACCATCTTTTTCTCGAGAAAAAGATGGTTTCGAACCAAAAAAACCATCTTTTTCTCGAGAAAACCAAAAAAACCATCTTTTGGAGGCCCCAGCCCCATAGTTTTGGAAAAGATGGTTTTTTTGGTTTTTTTGTTTTTTTTGGTTTTTTTGTTTTTTTTGGATTTTTTTGGTTTGTTGGTTTTTGTTAGTTTCTTGTTTTGTTGTTTTTTGCCTTGATCTGGCTAGGACTCGGCTGCCATCCGCGGTGGGTCCATTGGGGGGGGGTGAGCATATATATATATACCGTACTTATATATATATATATATAGAGCATATGTATATATGTATGTATAGTTATGTATAGTGTGTATGTATATATATATATATATGTATATCATGTGAGTCCATTTTTCTGGTTTTGTAGTTCACAAAGGGGACTCGGCACTCCGAGGGGTCCTCACGCGCTTCGACACATGACTCAACTCTCAACGTTTCAAGCAGAGGATGTTGTCATAGATTTCCATGATACATTCGCATATTGCTCGATGATGTAGTTCCAGTGCGTTGGAGCCGTGCACTTAAGATGGTGGACATGTCGTGGACAGTCCTGTGGACAGTCCTGTGGATTGTTTTTTTTTATATGACTTTGGGGGGAGTTTATATCGGCATCTCCCGGCATCATGTTCTGCCCCGGACAGGAGAGTCATGGTGCGCCGAGGCGGGTGTAACCCAGTGCAAACCTGTGCAAACCTGTGCAAACCAGTGCACCCTACTCACGCTCTCCTCAGCTCTCCTCAGCTCTCCTCAGCTCTCCTCAGCTCTCCTCAGCTCTCCTCCTACAGTTCTTTCCCTTCACTTGCTGCGAATTACTGCGAATCAGTGAACGTTCTCTCTCTGCTCGCTTTCTCCTGACTTTCCTGCTTTCCTGTTCCCTTCTGTTGTTTTCTCCCCGCAGTGCTTTTTTGCAGCCTCATTGAATACTCTTGCCATTTTTGGTTTTTCTCTCTCGCGCTCTTTTTTTCTTTCTCTCTCTCTCTCTCTCTCTTCCTGGGTGCCTCTCTATCTCTCTCCATTGCATTCTCAGGTCCGCGGCTGCCGGGGACCCAAAACTCAGAGAGCGCCAGATCGAGGGAAAAGAAGAGGTACACCGCAAGCTAACAGCTGAGTCTAAGAGAAGGGCGAGGGGGCACTTCATTTTGTCGGATTTTGCAGACGGGGAAAGGCCGGTGCTTGCCGTGCTCCTTGTTGTGGGGCTCGCATCCCAGCTTGCGCGGCTCCCCAGCACCTGTCGAAAAAGCATAAAGTCTACGGAGTCTACGGAGTCTACGGAGTCTACGGAGTGTGCAAAAGGAGAAAGTTGCGCCCCCAAGAAGCAACGTACAAACGAGAGCGGTTGTCCCAAAAGCGTCGTTGAGCTGCGATGACCTTGTGACTTGTGAGGCATCTACGTTTCAGCAAGACGAAGCGTTAGGAAGACGTACGACGACACGGTTTAACCAAGACATCATAGCCCATCCAGCATCCCAGACATCTCCCGCAGCATCGCCCCACGAACATCTGCCAGCGATGTGGTGCACGCGGTTAACCTGGCAGCAGAGGACAATGCTAGGGCTGAGGGTCAAGCTGGTCGCCGTGCGGCGTAGGCTACAAGCCCGAATCATCAGGACACACCAGGACACACCAGGACCTCAGGAGCACCGAGAGGATGGTTTGAGCTCAGCATTTCGAGAATGGTGCCAGCGTCAAAACACCCGACACTGAGAGGGTTGTCGTTTGCAGAATTTCGAGAATGCGCAACCGCGCTAGCTCGCCGTTGTGCGGCGGGTCCCGCAAATCCTACCCTGTGCTTTCTCAGGCACAGGAAAGCAACCCAAGTACAGCACCATCCATGCATCAACGGTAGCGACAACCTTCTTGAAGACGAGCTCCGCTGAAAGCCCTTCACCACGCTTTCAGGAGAGAAATTCGCAAGCCTTTCAAGGCCCCCTCGATTAGATTCGGACATTCGGAGGAGCATGCCTCCTGAGGTACGCCAGTCAGTGAGTCGTTACGCACCAGGTGTTGCATGCGGCAGAACTGCAGCCTTCGCTCTTAGCTATACGGCCATGTGCTGCACAGTGCCGCCATTCTGTTTTGTCATGATGCTACCCAAGAGCTGTGACAGGGCACTGTGGGTGAGCTTCTTCTCCCGAGGGCAACTGTCGTCTTGGCCCGTGTCTTTAAGTTTTGCGCCCCCCTCATACGAAGTGGTAGTCTTTTGTGACACCCTCATACGAAGTGGTAGTCTTGTTCCGCGCCGCCCTCAGAAGTAGTGGCCTTGCGTCTCCGAAGTTCACTTCATGTAACCTTCCGGGGGTTTCTCCCTTCAGAGCGCGCATAGATAGCGTGCTGAGTTGAGCCTCTGAGGCAGTCCTCTCCTTCGTGGCCACTGGGGGCTCGCCCGTGGAGCGTGCCAAAGTGGCGCGCAAGGTGAAAGTCTTCGACTTCCCTTTCCTCAACAGCGAGCCGGAGCAGGAGAACTGCGTCTCAGAAATCCCCCTATAAACTTTTTGTCTCAAACTCTCTTTCCAAAATTTTCATGCCTCCGTGTATTCTCCTTTGTTTTATATTGCAAATCCCTGAAAAAGGGCTTTCCTCTTTCCTCTTTCCTCTTTCCTCTTTCCTCTTTCCTCTTTCCTCTTTCCTCTTTCCTCTTTCCTCTTTCCTCTTTCCTCTTTCCTCTTTCCTCTTTCCTCTTTCCTCTTTCCTCTTTCCTCTTGCCTCTTGCCTCTTTCCTCTTTCCTCTTTCCTCCTCTCCCGGACACTCCCCCTCTTTTTTCTTTCCCCCGCAAAGATTGCTTTCAAGGACCCGGCAGAGACCGGCACCTCCGCGCAGGCGACGGCCACTTTTTGAGCTGAGTTCTCTCGTGAGTTCTCGAGCGTGAGTTTTTCTTGAAAGAGAGGAATTCGTCTCAGAGAGCCAATGTTCTCTCAAAAGTGCCAGTGTAAAGTACTCTACTGCGTCACATGCAAGCGCCGCTGTTTTCCAATGTGCCGTGCTGCAGGCAGATCAGGAGGCGCGCGCAAGGGGCCTCAGCCGCGCTGGCGATTCCGGCAATTCCCCTTGGCGCCTTTGTCTTTGGGGTTCTTAAGACTGAAAAAACTTGCAAGGGGATCTTGCAGTCCTGAAACGCGGCCTATTCAAAGCATACAATTAAAACATGGTCACGAACATCTAGAAACCGGGCCCTTCAAATTTTGGGCACATAAAAGGTTGTAAGGATTTATGAAGGTTTGTATGTACAAGGGGCCTTAACCAGCGAGGAAAAAATCTGGAAGCCCGGGCCCTTTCATATGGTAAGGATGTTAAGTGTTCAGGGACTCATAAAAATTAAAACGGCCCGGGGGGGCCCTGGGACCCCTTTTTTGAATTGGTAAAATCCTTAAGATGCTTGTAGTCTAGAAACCCGGGCCCTGTTACACGTTTTGAGGATTTTGAGGGTTTTGAAATTTCAAAGGGGCCTTTGCAAATTCATACAAACCCTTAGAGCCCTTTCTAGAAGCCCGCACCCTTTGACAATTTACAGATGTCAAGGATTTTCAGGATTTAAAAAGTTAAAGGTCCGGGCCCCCCCGCTTGAAATTGATAACATCCTTAGTATCCTTAAATTCCAGAAACCTGAGCCCTTTGAATTTGTAAGGGTTTTAAGGGTTATACGATTTTAGTTCAAAAGGGGCCTTGTGAAATTGATAAAGACTCTAAAATCCTGAAAATCCTTAGAGTCTAGAAGCCCGGGCCACTTTATTTCAGATTTTATTGAATTTAGGGATGTATCTTACAAATCTGGGGTCTTTTCGCCAATATAATGTCATTGTTACAAGGGCACGAAGTTAATGTAGTTCGCGCTTGACCAGTGCTAGTAGAATGAGATTTCATATGTTTTCGTGCGTTAGCTACGAAATCATTTTGGGGGTTCACTTCGTTCACCCTTTGATTTGCTACCATTTTGGGGCCTTGTCTTTGTTTTCTTCTCGCACTACATTATTTTTGCTCATATGTGTGCGTGTGTGCAAATTGTGTGATGTGCTCATTCCATTTCCCTTCTCTTTATCTCTCTTTCTCAACCTTTCTGAGAAAACTTGGTTGTTTGCTGTTGTCATGTTCTGATTGAAAAAAAGAGAGGGGCGCGCGCGCACGCGCGAGCGCTCTCTCCCTTTCTCTCTTCGAGTGAGTTTTGGAAGGCACTTCTGAAGAAAGAGGTTAGAATCGGTTAGAATTTGGCTCTCTTTTCTGAGGTGGTGGAGGTCTCCATGCCCCTGGGCGTCGACTTTGAGGAGCGTTCTGGGGGCGACATCTTCATCAAGGAGAGGGTTCCCCGAGCCCTCGCAGCGTGGAAAACCTGAAATAGGGAAAGACAGCACTGACGGCACTGACAGCACCTTGGAAAACCTCCGAAATCAGCTCTTTCCCTTTCCCATTGCTTCCTCTGCTCCTTCTTTGCTGCTTCTCGTTCCCATTCTCTGATCACAAGAGAGGATGTGGACCAGTCCAGCGACGCCTGGGCTCAGGGGGCCGGGGCCTGTTTTTGAGTTCCTTGAGAGTTGTGTCAGCTCTACAGATTGGAGGCTCTGCAGAGAGTTCTTCCCTCATTTCTTTGG